CAGTAAATATATATGTGTGTTGAGTATTACCAACAATGGTAATAAATTGCAAGAAGAAGCATTAATTTAATATTCAATGTAAATACACCCCGATTTTAAAGAGAAAGAAGTTAATGTGGCAAATGTGTAGACTAATTTGATCAACTTCTGTTAAATTTTAAAGGTTGATTTTCCTTCTCCTGCATTTGATATTATTTATACAACTCCTCAAGTTGACAGAAGCATTATACAACAACATAACTTAGAAACACTAGAGAATGATATAAAAGGGAAACTTCTTGATATTCTTCATAAAGACTCATCACTTGGGTATGCTCTGTTTATTCTGTTTTGAGCTAAGTATCTCCTGTAATGTAAAAGTCAAGTTAAGGCTTGTGTTAAATGCCCTGATTCTGTTCATGACTTATCAGCTTTCTTGGTGTGGAAAGTTTTCTATTTAACTTACCTTGTTTCCTTTATTTTTTTTTATTTATTTATTTTAATAATCTACAAGTTTTCTTGTCTTGAGGGCCAGCTAATATTTAACTTGCTTTTAAAATTATATAAAAAGACTGCATGACTGCATAAAAGTTTAGAAATTTGTCAAGTCAAACGTTTTTACTTAAACAAAAAGCAAACAATAGACCAGAAACTCTACGTACAGTAAATATCAAGAGACTTTTTATTTAACTGTAAAGAACTTTTTCTTATTAACAAGATTAAGACCAACAACTCAGTAGTGAAGGAGACGAGACAAAGTATGAACAAGCAATTATTTAGAAAAGAAATACAATGCCTTTAAACAATCTGAAAAGATGTTCAATTTTCAGTAATCAAGGAAATATAAATTAATTCAAGATATCTAACACACATCAGATAATTAAAATTATCTGGCAAAAATTAAGATACCTTATTAAAAGTGTTGATAAGGATACATAAAATAGAAATTATACTATTTGCAGAACTACAAAAAGCTACATCTCCTTGGGAGAGCAATTTGGCAAAATCTACAAAGTTATAATGTGTATATCCTTCTGATATATTCTTTAAAAAAATGATCTTTTTATTTAGTTGATACTAACTTTTAAAATTCATTGCCATATGTTGTAAATTTTGGATTAATTTTTTAAATGAAAATCACAGTATTCTTTTTACATTCATGAAGGTTTTTAACATGGAACTAAACTTCTCTATATCTTTGGACTTCATCACATACAAATTCTGTTCCTGGAACAGTTCCCAAAAAAGGATAAACTCTTTTATATTTGCTTATGGAGACAGAAATATTCATTGCAGAATTTATTTGTATTGAAAAACTGTTTGGAGGCTAGGCATGGTGGCTCATTCCTGTAATCTCAACGCTTTGGGAGGCTGAGGTGGCAGGATTGCTTGAGCCCACAAGTTTGAGACCAAGCCTGACAGTATAGTGAGACCCCGTCTCTACAAAAAAAAATAAAAATAGCCAGGCACAGTGGGTGTGTCTGTAGTCCCAGCTACTCGGGAGGCTGAGGTGAAATAATTGCTTGAGCCTGGGAGGTCAAGGCTGCAGTGAGCCATGATCTCATCACACGTTCCAGCCTGGGCAACAGAGCAATACAGTATCTCAAAAAAAAGAAAAATTGACTGGAAATGTCCATCAATACAGATTAAATTACAGTACATTTTTCTGGTAGAGAACCATGTAACAACTATTAAAAATGAGATTACAAGCTGGGCTCAGTGGCTCACGGCTGCAGTTCCAGCACTTTGGGAGGCTGAGATGGACGGATCACGAGGTCGGGAATTAGAGACCAGCCCGGCCAACATGGTGAAACCCCCATCTCTACTAAAAATACAAAAGTAGCTGATCGTGGTAGCATGGGTCTGTAATCCCAGCTACTCAGTCAGGAGGCTGAGGCAGGAGAATCGCTTGAACCTGGGAGGCGGAGGTTGCAGTGAGCTGAGATCATGCCACTGCAGTCCAGCCTGGGCAATAGAGCAAGACTCCATCTCAAAAAATAAATAAATAAATAAATAAATAAATAAAATTTAAAAATAAATAAAAATGAGATTATAGCTGTATGTACTAATTTTTGAAATACGTTAACTGAAGAAAGCCAGGGGTAAAATTGTGTATATAGTGTATTACCATGAAAATAAAGGAAAGAGGAGAATCTACATATATCCACATGTGTGCCTCTGTATGAATAAACTATCTCTGAAGGGGCATACAAGCTTAGGTGGTTGCCTCTTGGGAGGGGAATTGGAAGGAGAGAGATTTCATTATATACCTTTTGTAGTATTTGAATTTTTTCATTACTCCACATGAAATGAATAAATTTCAGTACATGTGTATATGGATGGATGGATGGATGGTAAAATAGTGAAATATTTCATTCACATAAACATTTGAGTTTAAGCTTAAATAAAACAATTAGGATCTTCAAAACAAGTCCTTTTCATTTTGATATTTCTCGGTTGTACTGTATATGTTCTAAAATTTTATAGTAGCATTTTTTTCATAACATTTGATTTCATTGGTATAAAATGGATGAAATCCTTGCTGTCACTTAGAGTGGGATCTGCGTTTTCAACTCTGATTTCTAGTGCCTGGCATCTAGTTGAGCTCAATAAATTTTTATTGTACTGAATTATCCTTCTTTTCATAACTAAGTGTCTTTTATCAAGACAGAATCATTTCTTTCCATTCCCAGATTAGCATTAATTTCTGACATTTGCCAGACATTGTATTTTTCTATTTCAAATCAGTATTAATGATTTTGTCAAGAAGTAGCCGTCCCAAATAAATAAATTTCTTCTTTGTATTTTTAATCATTGAGATTATATCATTATGCCATCACTGAGAAGTGATTTAATTCTGTTATATATGCAGACTTTCTAAAGAAGATAAAGCTTTTTTATGGGAGAAACGTTATTATTGCTTCAAATATCCAAATTGTCTTCCTAAAATATTAGCAAGTACCCCAAACTGGAAGTGGGCTAATCTTGCCAAAACTTACTCATTGCTTCACCATTGGCCTCCATTGTACCCACTAACTGCATTGGAACTTCTTGATTCAAAGTAAGTCAAATACATCTATTTGCTCTTGTTTTATTATCAGTTTTTCCAGTAAAGTATGTTGTCAGAAGTATTTCCTTTCCTTTTAACATGAAAGCAATTCAATATAATCCAAAAGTGTTAATGTATATTTATACAAACATATCTTCTGCATTGAAGCTGTCAATAAAGCTTTTCATGTCATTTAAAACTAGCCTAAAGAATGGGTTAGGTTGTAAATTTTGAATAATTTGTATTTTTATGATGTGGGCCAAAATTAATTTTCATAAATTTAAGATTCCTAAATAATCCCTAAACCGAATCTGTATAGCACAATAAGATTGTCATCTTGCAAAAAGAAAAAACACATTGCTTTTGAATAAAAGAGATATCTTACTGTTCCTTGTCAGGAACAGAATGAGATTGTGTTTTCAGGAACTACCGTTTCACTGGAAAGAAATCACTGTCAAATCTTGGTTTTGTGGTATTCTTCTAGATTTGCTGATCAGGAAGTAAGATCTCTAGCTGTGACCTGGATTGAGGCCATTAGTGATGATGAGCTAACAGATCTTCTTCCACAGTTTGTACAAGTGAGTTTTTTTGTTTACTAGTTAACCTCCCTTTACACTTTCTCTCTAGTTTTTGATGGGAACTTACCTAGGTATCCCCCTTCTGTTTAGATTAAAAGTAGTTTTATAGTGTGGGAACATTGATGGAAATTGCATTTGGATTTAGTGTGAATTTTTTCCCACTATTGTCATCTGCCCCATTTGAATATTGTATGTAGGTACCTATATTTTTAGTTTTCAGACTTTTTAGAACAAACTAGACTTGAGCTTTTCCTTGATTCTTTTTTACTGGTGAGTTCAACATAGCTAATGACAGTTACTCATTCTATACTTTTGTGCTTGATTTCATTAATGTGGCATAATTCATGTTTCTGTTTCATTTTTATAAGTATCATCTTTCATCAATAAGACTAATACTTGCTTTATATAGTTTCTCTTTTGATAGTTTTGTTGGAACAATTTAGTATGGGTTTGACCACTAGTAATTCTTACTTTCTTTTATGTGTAGGCTCTGAAATATGAAATTTACTTGAATAGTTCATTAGTGCACTTCCTTCTGTCCAGGGCATTGGGAAATATCCAGATAGCACATAATTTATATTGGTAAGATTTAAATTTTATTAATCACTGTTTTTCTATTCCTAAAATTTATAGAAATGGCATACTCTGTAAGTCTAAATGGCATGCCACACTACTTATTGTGAATACCAGATGTTTTATTGAAGGCATTATTTTAAAGGAGCTCAATATACCCTCTATTGCAAAAATTTGGTATCTTATAGCTGTATAATAATGCCTGGGTTTTCATTTTCTTATATAGCTTAAAATAAATTTCTGGTTATCAAAAATTGAGATATGGTGGCTCATGCCCATAATCCCAGCACTTTGGGAGGCCAAAGCTAGTGGATCACTTTAGCTCAGTATTTTGAGACCAGCCTGAGAAACATGGTGAAACCTCATCTCTACCAAAAATACAAAAAATTAGCCAAGCATGGTGGTGTATGCCTGTGGTCCCAGCTAGTTGGGATGCTGAAGTCGGAGGATTGCTTGAGCCAGAGAAGTGAAGGTTGCAGTGAGCCAGGATCACGCCACTGGACTCCAGCCTGGTTGACAGAGGCAGACCTGGTCTCAAAAAAACAGAAAAAAAAATTGAACTTGTTATTTTTCAGGGAGATTCACTGAGTCACCCAGTTCTCAGAAGTGACTAACATAAATATTTTGCTGTATTAGGCTTCTCAAAGATGCCCTGCATGATGTACACTTTAGTACCCGATACGAACACGTTTTGGGTGCTCTCCTCTCAGTAGGAGGAAAACGACTTAGAGAAGAACTTCTAAAGCAGACGAAGCTTGTACAGCTTTTAGGAGGAGCAGCAGAAAAAGTAAGGCAGGCTAGTGGATCAGCCAGACAGGTATGTACCCATAAAAGGTAATATAAATGTGTTAACGTTAAAGAAGGATCTTTATGGTACTGACTAATTAAGTTGCCACTCTATTGGTAGACTCCCAATGGAACTCTAACTATACCCATGCTATTTGGGGCAGATAAATTCAAAGATTATTTAAAATACATAGGAAAATATTTCACAACCTATTAAAATCAATGATTTTTCCCATGCTTATTTATTCCTTTCTGATCAAAATTGATTTTTTTGAATTCCTTTACCTACACTATCAAAGTCCATAGTATTTTCATCACACCAAAAAGAAAGCATCTTACCATTTCCCCCTCCTCCCAGCCACTAAACCGTTTTGTTTCTATATGGATACTTCTGTACTTCTATATGGATATTCTGGACACTTCATGGCCTTTTCTATCTAGTTTCTTTCACTTAGCATAAAGTTTTCAGAGATCATCTATGTTCTAGCATGTTGATTACATGCCATTTTTGGTTGAATAATGTTTCATTGTGTGGATAGTCCATATTTTGTTTATCCATTCATCTATCGGTGGATATTTGGGTTGTTTCCACTTTTTGACTATTAAGAATAATGCTACTAGAATATTCATATATAAATTTTTGTTTAAACAACTGTTTTCACTTAGGAGTGGCATTGCTAGGTCATATGGTAGTTCTGTGCTTAACTTTTTTGGGAATCATAGAATTATTGTCTGTAGCAGCTGTATCATTTTATATTCCCAGCAGCAGTACAGAAGGGTTCCAGTTCTCCACATTCTCATCAACATTGTTTTTGTTTGTTTGTTTGTTCATTATAGCCATTCTAGTGGATGTGAAGTAGTATCTCATTGTGGTTTTGATTTGTATTTCCCTAGTAACTAATAATATTGAGCACATTCTCATGTGTTTGTTGGCCATTTGTATTTATTTGGAGAAATATCTATTCAAAGTCATTTGCCCATTTTAAATTAGACTGTCTTTTTGTTGTTATGTTGTAAGAGTTATTTATATATTTCCAATACTAGACCTTTATCAAATACACTATTTGCAAGTATTTTTTTCATTCTGCAGTTGTCTTTTTACTTCACTGATAGCGTCCTTTAATATATTAATACAAAAATGTTTAAGTTTGACGAAGTCCAGTTTATCTATTTTTTTCTTTTGTGGCTCATGCTTTTAGTGTCATATGTAAGAATCCATCATCAAATCTAATACCATAAATATGTACACCTGTGTTTTCTTCGAAGTGTTTCTAGTTTTAGCTCTTATGTTTAGGTCTTTGATCCATTTTGAGTTAATTTTAGTTTGTGGTATGAAGTAGAGGTGCAACTTCATTCTTCTGAATTAGGTTATCCAGTTGTCTTAGCACCATTTGTTAAAGTGACCCCCTCCTTCCTCTTGAATGGTTTTGGTGTACTTGTCAAGTATTAGTTGATGCTGTGCTTGCTTCGGTAGCACATATACTGAAATTTGAATGATACAGAGAAGATTAGCATGGCCCCTACACAAGGTTGACATACAGATTCATGAAGTGTTCCATTAAAAATTTTTTTAATAAAAAAAATTTAGTTGACCACATATATGGCGTTTTTTCTAGACTCTCAATTCTATTTCATTCATCTATTTGTCTATCCATATGCTATACATTTTTTTTTTTTTCCCCTCGAGACGAGGTCTCTCTCTGTTGCCCATGTTGGAGAACAGTGGTGTGATCACAAATCACCACAGCTTCAACCTTTTGGGCTCAAGTGATCCTTCCGCTTCATCCTCCCAAGTAGCTGGGACCACAGGTATTTGCCACCATGCCTGGCTAATTTTATTTTATTTTTTTCTGATAGGGTCAGGATTTTGCCATGTTGCCCAGGCTGGTCTTGAACTCTTGGGCTCAAGCAGTCCTCCCATTTTGGCCTCCCACAGTCCTGGGATTACAGGTGGTGTGAACCATCACACCCAGCCTATATTTTTTGATTACCATAGTTTTAAAGTAAGTTTTGAAATTGGACAATGTGAGTCCTCCTACTTTATTCTTTTCTTTTATTCTTTATTCTTTTTCAAGATTATTTGGCTGTTCAGGGGACACTTGTAATTTCATGAATTTTAGGATCTGTGTGTCCATTTCTGCAAAAAGGCAGTTGGAATTTTGATAAGAACTATAGATTAATTTGGGGAAATATTACATACAATCTTAATTATAAACTATTACCTCTATATACATTGTTTACCTATTTTCCCTTTACCAAACAATGCTGCAGTGAACTTTGGTTGGTGTGTACATTTTTACTTCTTTGCTAGTATTTCTTTACAGGAAATTCCTACAGATGAAATAGCTGAGTCAAGAGCCACATATATTTTTAGTTATAATAGTTGTTACAGGCCGGGCGCGGTGGCTCAAGCCTGTAATCCCAGCACTTTGGGAGGCCGAGGCGGGTGGATCACGAGGTCAAGAGATCGAGACCATCCTGGTCAACATGGTGAAACCCCATCTCTACTAAAAATACAAAAAATTAGCTGGGCATGGTGGTGCGTGCCTGTAAT